ACAGAAAGATATGGACACAAGATGTGTGCAAATGTATTTAGTTTCATATCCATGTGGACATGATTTAAGTGGGGGTGGGGGGGCGGATCTAACCACATCTCGGGGGGTTTGGGGGCATGCACCACCAGGAAGATTTTTTTTAAATGTTGAAGTCAAANTGGGAAGCTGCGTTGAAGCTTCAACGCACGCCGCCGTGTGGACGGGCCGTCAGACTCTCACCGTGGCCACGATCCTCTTCACTGCGGCCACTGACAGCTCCTCTCCTTTAGGCTGGTCCACTAGTGTCAGAGCTGTCAGTGGCCGCAGTGAAGAGGATCGTGGCCACGGTGAGAGTCTGACGGCCCGTCCACACGGCGGCGTGCGTTGAAGCTTCAACGCAGCTTCCCATTCACTTTGAATGGGGTGATGTCAAGCTTTGCCGAACTGCATTGTGGTTCCGTCGCTTCGCTTTGCCTCCGTTGCTCGCTTCAACTTTTCAGGCTTCGACGGAAGCGTCAGCCAATCAAATCATATGCCAGTACAAGCGCTAGCCAATCAAACCGCGTGCTTGTGTGTCCGGGGGGGGAGATTAATGTGATTGGTCGTTGGTCGCGCTCCAGACACGCCCACCGGCAAGCTTCAACGCGCGCTGCCGTGTGGACGTACCGTGAGGAACAATAACTGTTCAGGATGTCAAACAGTCACCAGGACTACGGCTTTCTTTATTACTCTTTTAAAAGCACAAGACATGCTTTGATTTCTTTATTACTTTGTTGGAACACTGTCAGCGTGAAAACAACACTTTTCTGAAATGTCTTGTATTAATGAAATGGGAAATAAAATGTCATGTAATCATGTCAATCACAATTTAAAAGTTATCCAGTCAAATTGTAGAATTGACAAACTTCCAAAGGAGCATATATTTGGTTGAAATAAAGTAGTACATTTGGCAACAAACTGTACCTAAAGTTCCCGAAAATGAATGCAAGTTTCCAACTGCTGCTGTAATGTGAGATGAGAGTTAATTCTCCCATCGGATGCCATTTAACTAAGGTCAAAAAAAGACATTGCATAATTAAAAGAGCTTAGTACTTGAAGGAATAGTAATAAGTAGCCTATAGATTGTTTCTTGTACTCTCTTCCCTAGACGCTGTATGAGGTTTTCTATCGAATGGTGTTGAATAAATGCAGCTCAGTGCAATAAGACGGACTGGACGTGTTCTAAATCGTCCTAAAATAAGCATATTCCAATCCTCCTGTGAAGTTATTTGTTTTGCATATATGTACACTTGTTCACAAGAAGTAGATGGATTTCTATGAATAAAGAAGTGGATACAAGGCACGCTCCAGGCCCTATTATGCTTTCCTACAGCGCGTAATATAGGTTTTTCTGCATGTAAATGGTCTGAAAAGGCTTAAATCCCAAAGTTCCCTCTCTTCGATTGTGGTCCTTTTGTTCACTTCCGCGACATAGTGGCATCACTACGTAACAATTGTGCTTTTATTGGCTACGACCAACACATTGTACGTAATAGGCTAAGTGGCGGGACATCTCTAAGCTGGTTGACCAATCACAACAGAGTCGGCCAGCTAACCAATCAGAGCAGACTGGGCTCTGGTTTCAGACAGAGGGTGAAAAGAGGTGCTGCAGCACAGGCAGTATGAGACAAATAGAGAGCTTTTTGAACATTAAAGCATGGAGACATGTCCCAGTAGAGACACTTAACTAAAATATGGAAATGAGCAGAATAGGGCCCCTTTAACTCGTCATCAGTCCGCACATTTTGTGGGTCAGATTGTTTTTAAAGCACTGTTTGTACTGAACACACTACCTGCTATTAAACAAAGTGTCCCCTTGTATCTGTACCAGGCTAAAGCGATGGGGAAGAAGCCTCAGAAGGTCACTCTGAAGATCTCGCCTCAGGGAATCCTCCTGTTCGACAGCCTGTCCAATAAACAGCTGGAAAACGTCTCCATATACAGGTAGGTTCAAAACAAGGTGCTTTTCAAATGAATGTCCAATTAACAGTGTTGCACTTTTTTTCTTTTTTTAAACAATATGTTGATTACATTTCATTCTTTTAAACAACATAGTTACAACACACAACATACCTACACAAACGTAGATAACAAATGTGAAAAACAGATGCAAAGACAAGACAGGACATCATTTGAATTTTTTTTGTACATAGTCACAGCAGTTTAAGAAGTACTTTACTTTTCCTTTCCAGGGTGTCCACGGGGTCTTAAAAAGTATTAAAAGTTGATAAATCAATTTAGCGAAAATTAAGGCTATTAAAAAGTATTAAACGGCATTTTCCAAGGTTTTACATTGTGTAGCTTGTTTTCAATAGGTATATAAATTGTAAATGTGAGGTAAAGTGTGTCGCCAAGGTAACCGGTTAAAACTCCAAGTGGAGATGAGGTCTTAAAATGTATGGAAAGGGTCTTAAAAAAGGTCTTAAAAGGTGTTACATTAGATTTCAGGATTCCTGCATATGCCCTGCTTTCAACCAGATCGCTCTCATGGATTTCCATTGTTACTACTTAGCATGTTTCACACATTCCTTAACAGTTAAGTAAACGAGCCCCAACAGTGTTGCACTTCTTAAGCTTAATACACGTTCACAACCTTTTTAAATACCTTGTCATGGAGTCGATGTGTTTCACGTGTTGTGAACTCTCTGTCCTAATGTTTGCTCTTCCTCTAACCTCACAGAATATCCTACTGCACAGTGGACAAACTGAACGATAAAGTGTTTGCTTACATCGCTCAAAACACCCTCAATGGGACCCTGGAGTGCCACGCCTACCTCTGCTCCAAGAGGAAAGTGGTGAGTTATTTGATACAGAATCGGTTTTTATGTTTAATATAACGAGTATAAATCAAAATCAGTTCATCTGCATTACTTTCATTTTCACTTCTATCTTTAAGAGTTGTTTTCTGTATTTTTAAGGGGATTTAAACCTCTCGTCATGGTTGGGTGTGTTATCTAATCTAAGTTTTCTTTGTGGTCCGTTAAAAAGACCTATCACACCCAGCATGTTCCTAACTGTGAGTGGACAGAAGCCCAATGTATCCTTCTTTTCTTCAGTGCCTCTCTGGGTGTTTCTCAATCTCGAGTAAAGCTGCTCCAGAGCCACTATTTCAAGCATACTACGTCATCGAGTGCCGCCGAAGTACTGTTTCAATGTCCAGCATACTTGGAATTC